CAGACTTTCGGATGTTTTTCCAGGCCATGTGACCCATTGAAAGTCATTAATAGTCTTTAAAGGTCTTTAAAAGACTTTAAAAACAGACTTTCGGATGTTTTTCCAGGCCATGTGACCCATTGAAAGTCATTAATAGTCTTTAAAGGTCTTTAAAAGACTTTAAAAACAGACTTTCGGATGTTTTTCCAGGCCATGTGACCCATTGAAAGTCATTAATAGTCTTTAAAGGTCTTTAAAAGACTTTAAAAGCAGCCTTTCAGATGTTTTTCCAGGCCATGTGACCCATTGAAAGTCATTAATAGTCTTTAAAGGTCATTAAATGTCTTTAAAAGACTTTAAAAACAGACTTTCAGATGTTTTTCAAGGCCATGTGACCCATTGAAAGTCATTAATCATCTTTAAAGATCTTTAAAAGACTTTAAAAACAGACTTTCGGATGTTTTTCAAGGCCATGTGACCCATTGAAAGTCATTAATCGTCTTTAAAGATCTTTAAAAGACTTTAAAAGACTTTAAAAACAGACTTTCGGATGTTTTTCAAGGCCATGTGACCCATTGAAAGTCATTAATAGTCTTTAAAGGTCTTTAAAAGACTTTAAAAACAGACTTTTGGATGTTTTTCAAGGCCATGTGACCCATTTTTCGCAGGGAGGTGCGAGGCTGACCTGGGGTTGCCAAATTCCCGTGGATCTTTCTCTTTCCCGCAGGTTGCCCCAAGGACTCCTAGGCAGACCTCTGGGGAAGAGGTGGCGGAAAGCAGGGCTCCCGGCGTTTGGGGCAGCTGGGGATCGTGGTCCTCTTGCTCGCAGCCCTGCGGCCTGGGGGTCTTGGAACGGACCCGGAGCTGCCAGTCCCCTTATCAGCGGGACCCCTGGGCCGGGAGGACGGACGGGGCCCCACGGCCAGCAGGCGTTCAGCAGCAGCAACAGAGATCCCACTTCGGGGAGCGTCCGCCTCGCCCGTCCGGACGCTGGCCGGCTTTCCCTCTGCGTTCGGACGGTAACTCTTGGCCAGCCTCGTCCGTCTACAGGGGAAACCCCCACGGCTCCACCAACCGCCATGTCCGTCAGGAGGCCGGGGCCGCCGCGGAAGGAACCGTGCCCGCCTCCCGCTCCGAGGCTCCGAGGGACTCCAACCCCTTCTTCGAGGCCACGCGATCTTGGGGAACCCCTCTCGTCCGCGAGGGATTCCCCAGCCAGCCCAGGCCTCAAAGGCCGTCCACTGCTGGGGGCTCCAGGACCCCTGCCCAGAAAGTGATCCCCTTGTACAAGCCAGCGAGGCAGGGGGGCCGAGAGGGGGGCTGGAGCCAGGAAGAGGAGTCCCCAGGAAGCTGGGCAGCGTCTCCGATACCGGACCCCCAGGCGGACTGGAGGTGAGTCTCCAGGGCCAATGGTGGTGTTGTGTGTTTGTGCGTCAGCAATCAGGGAGGGATGCACTAAAGTTTCCCTCACCCCCGGGCACTCGAGAAGGGGACCACTCCCTCCATCCTCCCCCATCATTGGCCTTCTCTTCCAACATTGTCATCCGGCCCAACGTTGTGTCTTCCAGGTCCCGAGTTCGAGAGACCATCAAGCCTGGAAAATACGGCTACGGCAGGGTTCCCTTCGCCTTGCCTCTCCACAAGGGGCTCTCCGAAGAGGAGGGCAGCCCCCGTTTTAAGCGGCACCATGGAGAGAAGACCGGGGAGACCCCGCCTTCCTCCGCCCCCTCCTCGCTCCTTCCGGCAGCCAAAGAGGAGCAGCCCTGGGGCGAAACGCCTTGGAGCCCCGGAGCAGAGCGGCTGGAAGGCCTGGCAGGGGCCCCTGAGGACCCCATGGGGGCAGCCGTAGGGCTGAAGAGCAGACCTTCTGGGGAAGGGGACTCGGCAGCCCCCAGCAGCCCTCCCCAGCAGGGCCCCCACTCTGCAGAGGAGGATCCCCGAGGCAACATCCCGGGGAGGCCCCCAAGACCCCAAGAAGACTCTTCCTCCGCGTCTCATTCTGGTGGGAGCCGCGTAGCTGCGGAGGGGACTGGGGGCTCCTCTTCTCAAAGACCCCCACCACACGCCCCAAAGGACCTGCGCCGGGCCCCCCCAGTCCCCAAGAGCCACATCTCTGCTTCCCAAGACAAAGGGCCGGGAAGGGGCCCCAACCCACGGGCCACACCGGGCCGTCCCGCCCGACTCAGCCTGGACCCCCACCTGCCCCCCAGCCGGGCCCGTTCTCGGAACCAGAGGCAGCAGCAGCAGCCGCGGGGGGCTGGCCGTGGCCCCCGGCCCTCCCACCACCTCTTTGTGGACCAGCCTGGCCTCCGTGGCCCCTCCGAGGCCGACATCTGGCTGCTCCAACGGGGCAGCCCCCTCCCCTTGCATGCTGGGGGGCAGAGACCGCAGGCGGAGACCCCCCAGTGGAACCTCTACGCCCCCGGCACCGAGACCTTCCACTGCGAGGGGGAGAGCAGACAGTTCAGAGCCTGCAGGCAACAGGTGAGCCTCCCGGTGCCCATGGTGCACAGCCTCCCTGGAAAAGCCTCATGGGCTTCCCCATTTGGGTTCTTGACACTGGCACGCATTTATGACCAGGGAGGGGGCCTCATAGGCGCCATTTCCAACCTCCCCAGCCACCTCCAAGAAGCCAGAGTGATAATAAAAGGAAATAATAATAAAATCCTCTCCACTGAATGGGTGGCCTTGAGGACTAGTGGCATGAGGGGGTTTTCTTTCCAAATTCTCCACCATGGGGGGGTGATGCAGCCAGCTGGAGGGGGAGGCTCCTTTGCTGGGGGAACCACAAACAAAATGGAAGCAGGGAAATGTGCGTTTTTTTCTCTGCACGTCCTGGGAAGCTGCCACTTTTCCAGCATCCCCTTGGCCAGTTTTCGGTGTTGCAGGAGGGGAGGAAGGTCGCCGGGCCTTTGGAGTGGACATCTGACCCGTCCTTGACCACACTTCCCTGCTCCTTTGGGGGACGCACCTCCCGAGCCCTTCTGAACAACAACGACGACAACAGGGTTTACACAACAGACCCACAATGCCAAATTCCCAGAAATAGTTTGTCCCAGTTCCTGGCAAGGCATCAAAGCCAAACGCACACAAAAAAGCCCCCTTTTGAACTGGCGTCGGCCGCTGCCCCTTCGTAGCCGGGACCTCCTTACACCGGACGGGTGACCGGGGAGGGGGGTCCCCACTTCAGGGGACACTCCCAGCCACACCCAGAGGGGGGAATCCACAGGCTCAAGTGTAGCAGAAGAAGAAGCAGGGTGGGTGGGTGGGTGGGGGACACTTCAACCGGCTCTCCTCTTCCTTGCTCTTCCGCAGCCGTGTCCTCCGGACCGCCCAGACCCCCGCACCGTCCAGTGCGCTGCCTACAACGACCAGGAGTTCATGGGACGTTTTTACCAGTGGGAGCCCTTCACGGAGGGTGAGTGCTTCTCCAAACTGCCTCTGACCACTGGGGAGGGGAGGCTGAGCCTGGAGAAGGTGGGTGGCCTCCCTCTTCCCTCCATGGCTTATTCCGACTTCTGGTGGCAGGGAGTTCCACGGAGTTCTCTCTGTCTGTACTGTTTTGCAGCTTTAGTTCAGGTGCTGCGTATCCCTGGGAGTTGCGGGGGGGGGGGATTAGAGGCAGAATCTTGCACAGGAGCTCACACACACACACACACACACACACACACACACACACACAGAGCACCCCCCCCTAGCAGGGGTCAGGAACCACCAAGGTCCCTTGATGACTTGAGGGCTTCAACTCCCCGAATTCCTCAGCCTGGCTGCCTCAAAGAATTCTGGGAGTTGTAGTCCCCCATCATCCAAGGGCCCTGGGACCCCCGTATAGGGACCCCCACCCACCTCCTTGTCCAGACCTCAGGGCTGACAATGTAGCTGTGGTGCTGGCGCCCTCTACTGGCGAGTGCTGGGAGTGCCCGTGATTGCAATTCAGTATTTCCCAACCAAGGGATTGTAAAAGAGTTTAAGAGGGGGAGGGTATGCAATTGGCGGAGGGTCCTGATTCCCATCTTCCTGGGCCTTTCCTAGTGTGGGGCTCCCGGCGCTGTGAGCTGAACTGCCGTCCCCTCGGCTACCGTTTCTACGTCCGTCACACGGAGAAAGTGCAGGACGGGACTCCCTGCGAGGCCTCGTCCCAGGACATCTGCGTGGCCGGCCAGTGCCTCGTGAGTCGCCGCGCCATCCGGGCGCGGGGTTGGACTAGATAGCCTGCAGGGTCCCTTCCAACTCTCCAGCTCGGAAGGGCCTTTTGTGGGAGGGAGGGAGGCGGGGGAAATCCCCTGGATCCTCAGCGGGATCTCTTTCCAGACCCCCGGCTGTGATGGGATCCTGGGATCGAATCGCACCCTGGACGAGTGTGGGGTGTGCGGAGGAGACCACACCGCCTGCAAACTGGTGTCGGGCAACTACAGCGAGACCAACGTGCCCATCGGCTACCACCGCATCCTGCAGATCCCGGCGGGGGCCACCCAGATCCAAATCCGGGAAATGTCCCGCAGTCCCAACTATCTGGGTAGGTCCAAGACGGAGGATTCTCCCTGCTCGCGTTATCCCAGGAGGCCACTCGTGGCGTGAGATCTCCCTGGCATTGTGAGGCCCCGAAGGAGGGTCCGGGGTCAGCAGGGCTGGGTGTGGAATGACACGAGACCCCTCCTCCTCCCCCACCCAGCCCTCCGTACCCAGAACGGCAAGTCCATCATCAACGGCAACTGGGCGGTTAACCCTCCCGGACACTACGAGGCAGCGGGCACCGTCTTCGTCTACAGGGACCAGGAGGAGGGGGAGCTCCTGACGGCCGACGGACCCACCACCAGGCCCGTAGAATTGTATGTGAGTAGTGGGGGGCCGCTCCGGATGGCCTTGGCTGCTTGAGGGCCCGTGTGGCACCAGGACTTTCTGGGAGGGGGGGAAAGGGGGCATGGAGGAGAGGACGGGGTGAGTAGCTGCCACTTTCCTTGTCCTCCCCACAGATGATCTTCCAGCAAGAGAACCCCGGGGTTTCCTACCAGTTCTTGCTGGCTCAGCCGGAGGATTCCCACCGCAACGCCCGGAGGCCTCAGGAGGGGTTTGGTGAGCAGCCTTTCCCCCCCCTTTTCGGGTCCGTGTTCAAGTCTTCCCACACCGGGAGCTCCCTCCAGCCCTGCAATTCTTCAACCGGAGGGTTAGAGCTTGACACAGGTAGCCCCCGATTTGCACCTGCTGCTGTGGCCTAGAGGGGGAGCTCTCGCCTCACTCACCAGGAGTTTGTGAGTTCAATCCTAGGCAGAGGCAGATGTAGGGGGTTGGACTAGATGACCTGCAGGGTCCCATCCAAGGCTGTTAATCTTCTTAGTGACTGTTTGAAGTTAACACAGCACTGAAAAAGCGACTTTTCACACTTACGAAAGGCACAGCCTCCCTGTGGCCACGTGATAGGAATTCAGACCCTTGGCAGCTGACTCGTATTTGTGATGACTGTGGTGGTCCTCTTTTTGCGACCGTCTGAGAAATAGGGGGGAAGCCAGATTCACTTAACAACCATGTTACTAACATGGTGATTCGCTTAACAACTGTGGCAAAATGAGGCGAAACTCACTTGGCTGCCTTGCTTAGCAACAGAAATGTTATTATTATTTATTATTATTGTTTATTAAATTTATAGGCCGCCCAATCCCGCAGTACTCCATCGTGGTCGTAAGCCGAGGACCGCCTGTAAGCCACTCTAATGAAACCTCCCATCTCTTTCCAGGCGCTTCGGCCGCGGTGGAGCCTCCAGCTGGCAGGGCACGTCAGCTGCCTTCGGCCCCCCGACGGGGCCCTGTCCCAGGCCAGCCGCCCCCCTCCTCTGCCTCATGGGGCAGCCCCCGTGAGGCCCCTCCCCCTCCTGCCCCGGCCAGCCAATCGCGGAGGAGCCTGGAGACTCTGCAGCGCAGCGCCCGGGTCCCACCCCTCCCGCCTCCCCCACCCCCCGTCCGGCTCCCCTCCGAACCCGGCCAGGAGTTCGCCTGGAGGCGGTTCGGCAACACGGAGTGCTCCGCCTCCTGCGGGAAAGGTGAGTCCGGAAGGGCGGAGAGGCCACGCCCCTTCCTGCCAATTCCTAGGCAGGTGGACTGCTCCTGAGCAGGGAGGTTCGGCGTTTGCTCTGAGCCGCTGGGGTCTCCTTTGGAGAATAACACCGTGATGATGATGATGAGGAGGAGGAGGAGGAGGAGGAGGAGGGGAAGAGGAGGAGGAGGAGAGGGAGGAGGAGGAAGAGGAGGAGGAGGAGGAGGAGGAGGGGGATATGAGGACAGTCCATGATTTTGCCTGGATTTTCCACGGGGCATTTCAGGTGAGCCCGTCCCAAACTCAGGGCAAAGATCAAACTTGCCGTACTTGTTGTGTCAGCCGTGGGGAGAGACAAGGAGCTGCGGAGACCCCCAAACGTTTTGCTCTGAGTGTTTTTTGACCCCCTCCAACCTCCCTCACCGGTTTTCCTTCCCTTCCCTTCCAGGCTTCTGGAAGTCCGTCTACCGCTGCGTCTCTCGCGCTTCCCAGGAGGAAGTCGGGGAAGAAAAATGCCACCAGATCCCCAAACCACTTGTGGAGGAAGAGATCTGCAACACGGATCCCTGCCCGGCCTTGTAAGCCGCCAAACCTTCCCTCGCGCGCCCCCCCCCCCTCCCCACAATCTCCCCTCCTCCCCTGGCTGAGCCCAGCACCAGAGATTCGGGGTCCGGAGGGCGTCTCCCTGGCCCTCCGGTCGGCCCAGTGGCAGGGAGGGGGGCGCTCGGCCAAGAGATCCCCCAACTGTTTTGCGTTGGGGACCCCCCCGAGTAAAGGTCTTTGGAGCACAAGGGTTGGATCTAACTTTGCAGCCTCTGGTGATCTGGAAAGGTTTTCCCCTCCCTACGGGTGGTTTTATCCTTCTGCGCAAAGCGGATTACAGCCTGGCTGGAATTTGTGAGCCACGGAATCTGTTCCCGTGGAGGTGGGGGGTGGAAAGCATTTTCTCCTGGATCTTTTTCCCTGCTGCTTAACTCGCTGGGTGCCCAAGGCAGGAGCCACCACCCTTAAACACTCAAAGAGCCGTTTGGACACACAAAAGAAACACCGGGAGCCACAGAAACCTTCCCTTGCCTGACTATTTCCTGAGCAGCTACAAAACTAGTTGAATTAAACGCTCTGTTTACTTCTGAAACTTTCATTTTCTTGGATTTAACCATGGTCGGCCTACCGGCGGTCGAAAAGCTCAAAATATTGCGGGCCGGCGGGTGTCGCACATTGGTGGTTGGGAGGTGTATTTCGAGCGACAGGGAGCCGCGGCAGAGGGAGGAAGGAGCCACTTGCGGCTCCGGAGCTGCCGTCTGCTGCTCCCTGGCCGAAGGGAAACGATTAAATATCAGCCGTTTTCGAAACGTGCGACGACACTCTCAAATCGTAATGGTGGCGTTTTGCAATTCCCCGTTTCAGCTGGGATGCCGGCAAGTGGTCGGCCTGCAGCCGGTCTTGCGGCCCCGGAACCCAGCACCGCCAGGTCCTTTGCCGGCAGATCTACGCCAACCGCACCACCATGGTGCACCCCCAGCGCTGCGGCCACCTGGAGAAGCCGGAGGCTACCCAGGACTGTCAAGTCCACTTCTGCAGCCACTGGGAGGTCCAGTCCAACTGGAGCTCGGTGAGGGAGCCGTGGGTGGGTTGGTGGGAGGGGGGTGTCGCTGTGCCCAGCCTCCCTCCTGGGCATTGGAGCCTGTGTCCCAGAGCAGGGCACCCATTTTCCCCCAGGGAGCCAGGAGAAAAATCTCCCCAGGTGGTCCTTGGCGTACAACACTTCGTTAGTGTTTGAAGTTAGCAATGCAAAAAAGGTGACTTACGACCCTCTCTCACACTTACGACCATTGCAGCATCCCCACGTGATCAAAATCCGGATGCTTGGCAACCGACTCGTATTTACGACGGTTGCAGTGTCCAAAGTCAGTGTGGAACCCAGATTCACTCAGCCACCGTGTGCTAATTTAACAGCCGCAGTGATTCGCTTTAACAACTGTGGTGGCAAAGTGGGACAAGACTCACTTAAGACACTTCTTGCTTAGCAACATGAATTGTGGTTGTAAGTCGAGCCCCCCCCCCCTTGTGTTTATTTCCCAAGAGCAGGATTCCACCCCTGGGGTCACCGCGGCCCTTCCGGCCTCCCCCAGAGCCACCGCCACCAATTTCTAAATCAGCCTTTGCACCCGTTTGTCTCCGGTGCAGACTGGACACTAAATGGATCGCCGGGCTCTGCCTTTGGCCGCAAGAAATGTGGGAACTGCCCCCTTTAATGCCGTGGCTTTGGGCCCTTCTGCTCCTTTTCTCCCCTCCCTCCCCCCCCACCCCCAGTGCTCGGCCCTTTGTGGCCCAGGCCACCGGACACGCCGCGTGAGCTGTGTCAGTAACCACGGAGAGCTCTTGAGGGACACGGACTGTCCGGACAACCACCGGCCCCAGAGCAGCGAGCCGTGCACCATGGGCCCTTGTGTGCGGAGCTGGTTTTACAGCGACTGGAGCAACACAGTAAGAAGAATGCCGACCCCCTTTTCCCACCCCCCACCCCCAGTTTTCAGACCCTTCCGAAGCTGGTCAGGACGTTGACATCCTTTCCCCCTCTTTTGACGCGGATCCCTTCGTCTCTTCCTCCGCTGGATTCTCGCGGCCGCCGGAACGTTCGGGTTGGGGGAAAATCAAGGCGAAAGCGGACCCTGACGTTCTTGCCGTCCTCTTTCAGTGCTCGGCTGACTGCGGCACCGGCATTCAGCGCCGCTCGGTGGTCTGCCTCTCCGGCAACGCGGACGGGCAGGCGGACGAAGACTGCGCCACCCCCAGGCCCTCCGACATGAGGGCTTGCGACGGAGGGCCCTGCCAACGGGTGACTCGGTGGTACAAGGGTCCCTGGAGCTCGGTAAGGGCCGGCGGAGCTCCCCCTGGGTTTCTCCAGCCTTTCCTCTGTCCCAACGGCTGGAACACCCCTGTTGCTGGGGTGTGTGACATGAACGCCACCTTCCAGGATTCGAGGGGCTGCCCCAAAGAAGATGGGGGGCGGGGGGGGTATTTCAACTTATTTTCCAAAGCACCAAAAGGCAAGATGGAAACTAACCAGGGAAAGAAGCAATCTGGAACTAAGGAGAAACTTCCCGACCGTGAGGACAATTAGCCAGTGGAACAGCTTCCCACTAGATGCTCCCAACACAAGAGGTTTTAAAGAGGAGGTTGGACTAGAAGACCTCCAAGGTCCCTTCCAGCTCTATAGTGAATGACAGGGCTGTTCTCCGCCACCCTCCCCCAGGGACCCCCACTCTTTTCTGCCCCTCGGTGACTCCTGCCCTCTTTCCCTAGTGCTCGGTCGAATGCGGCTATGGGACCCAGAGACGGGACATCATCTGTGTCAGCAAAGAGGGGACGCAGTTCAGTGTGACGGAGGCCGCTGAGTGTGCCCACTTGGAGAAGCCCCCTCCTCTCCAGCCCTGCGTCGGGACGGACTGTGAGGCCCGCTGGTTTTCCACCAACTGGAGCACAGTGAGTGGTGGTGGGGGGGCAGGCTTTTTTCTTTTGAAATGACTTTTTTTATTTTTTTATTACATATTTTAACTTCTTTTAGTGTCTCGGTTTTCCCCCTTCTACATCTTCTGTTATGCATAGTTCATTTTACATCCTATTTTCAAATTTCACATTTCAGTCCTTTTTTATTTCCATTCCCTATTTTCCAGCTTAACTTTAATTTCTTCCTCATAGATAAACAATATCATCCTCATTGCCTCTCCAAGTTCTTCAAATTTCACGTATCATTTCCGTCTATTATTCTGTCTTACCATCAATAACACACGCATATCCTCAGATTTAACTGTATACAGTAAACATTTCACATAGTTAATGATCCACAATTAATAGTATTAATCTATTTCCCCCCCCCCATCATGTTGGCTATATAAACCATTGGCTACATTTACCGAATTTCATTCTATTCCACTGGTAAATCCTGTCCCTTCTTTCCTCCTTTCAACCTTTTTCTCTTCGTCTCTCAGGAAACTTCTCTTCTCTCCATCCATTCGCCTAACATGTTCTTGCAATTTCCGTATTCTTTCTGTCCAGTATTTTTTCTCCTTTTTAATTATATTGTTGTAGTGGGGGGGGCAGGCTTTTTTTGTGGGGTGGGGGGGTACAAAACCCCTTCCATGCCAAGCTATCCACACCCCTCTCCACCCAGGGAGGCTTCCCCATCTCAGGGAAAGCGTCACGGAGCTTTGATTTGTGTTAATATCACTCCGAATTTATAATCAATGTGGGGTGCAGAACTAGGGAAGGGGGAGGGACTTTGACCTCCCCCCCCAATGTTTCCTTTTGCCCCCGCAGTGCTCTAGATCCTGCATGGGGGGCGTCCAGGTGAGAGAAGTCCAGTGTCTGACGCAGAACAAGACCTTAAGCGCTGGCTGCCCCCTCCACCTCAAACCAGCCACCAAGCGTCCTTGCAACAGCCAGCCCTGTCTTCCTTCGCTTGGTAAGCCCCCCCCTCAATTCCTCCCCCCCCCAAGGAAAGTGGAATGAGAAAGACGGCAGAGCAAACGAGGGAGGGGGGAATGTCTCTGCTCTTTATAGCCAGTTCGGTACTTATTGGGGGCAGAAGAGAGAAAGACCCTCCCCATTTGTTTATTTTCCTCCGTGTTTGAGTTGTTCCCCTGTCCACTGGGGGCCTCAAGCCTCTCCCCCACCTCTTCTTCTCCCCTTTTCCCTCTGGTAGATGCGGCCTGCCGGGACAAGTACCCCAACTGTGCGGTGATTGTGCAAGCTCGTCTGTGTGTGTATTCGTACTACCAGTCTGCGTGCTGCGTCTCCTGCTCACACGCCTTGGAGAGGCGGCATGCGGGGAACCCCAGCCGGTAGCATCGGCGGATTCAGGCCAAGGGGGTCTGCCTCCTGCCCCCCTTGCTTCAATGGGGGAAGGGAAGGGAGCCCCCAAGCTCCAGGAGGACCCACCAGCATGTCTCCCATAAGGAAGCCAATCTTTTTTGGGGGGGCATAGCCTCAGCACCCCAGCTTTTGCACTGGTGCCTCTGCAGCGGCAGGGAAGAGTGCAGAGCAATGAGGCACGGATTGGCTCATGGACCTTGGAACTCCCCCCGGCTGTGGCACATGGAGCTTCAGAGGATTGGAGGCTTTGGAACCCCACAGCCCACCCCTCACATACACACACACCCGTGAGGCCAACGCCGGATGTCTGTTATATTCTTGCTACTGGTTTTTACCTCCTGGACACACCAAAGTTCTTTTCACCAAAGATTCAGGAAAAACAGAAGAAGAAAACACACCGAGAAAGGATCCAGTTGAGGGTCCATCCCGGGAACCGTTTCCTGAATTTGCAAAAATTTAGTCTCTGGGAAGAAACATCTGCGGCTCCAGATGCAAGAAGCCCAGAGTGAAATTTCAGAGTGCCTTTTTTTCATGCTGCCTTGGAGTGGGGGGGAAAAGAGTGCTGTGCTTTTTGGCTTTCTATACCAGGGGTCCCCCCCAAACATGGCCACTTTAAGACTTGTTGACTTCAACTCCCAGAATTCCCCAGCCAGCTTCTGGGAGTTGAAGTCCACAGTGGCCAAATTTGAAGACCCCCCCCCCCTCCCCACCACAAAGGACATAAAACAAATGACAGTATTTATCAAAGGAAAAGTTACAAAGAGGATATGTTGTGTTACATTTTCATCATCCACAATGGATATTCTCCCCCCCCCATTCCTTTTCCCGCAGGGCAGCTAAATCCAGCAAGTCCTTAAATTTAGAATAGACTATAATAACAAGAGTTGGAAGGGACCTTGGAGGTCTTCTAGTCCAACCCCAGGGAAGCCTCTTCCATTTCAGACCAAATGGTTGTCCAATCTCTTTTTAAAAACCTCCAATGTTGAAGCATTCACAACTTCTGGAGGCAAGCAGTTTCGCTGGTTAATTGTTCCTAACGTGTTGATATCAATTCTTCTAAATTTTGAGATCCGGCCGTTAAAACTTCCCTTTTTCACTCGGATGTGCAACAACATAAAAGATGCAGCAGCTGGGTCGAAAAATCTGGTTATCCCGACCTTGAAAATGGTTCCTACAGAGTGCTCAGATTATATATATATATATAAAAATAAAAATATAAATCTATATATTTTATATAGAGAGAAATGTCTATGATAAAGCTGAACGTATGCCGATTAGTTTTGCCCATCTGTTTGTCCCCTTCATTTCCCCCCCTGTCTAAATCTTAATTTATTTTTTATTAAAGATTATTTGATTTTAACCCAAGGCGGTTCTTGTCTTCGCTTTAAGGAGGGAGTTTGCAGGGAGGAAAAGGGCCTGGGGTGGGTGGGTTGGGGTCTTTTTTTTTTTGCAATTTGTGAGGTGCCTTTGTTAAAACGGGGCCGCAGGGACAATGGAGCTGCCCCAGCCAGGCGCACTCTATCTCAGTCCTCTGGAGCAAGCAGCCCCCCCGGGGACCAATTCGGAGGATGCTCCAGATGCATGGAAGTGAATTAGGGGGGGGGAATCTTTTCCCCAGCGCCCCCTTTTCCACCTGCACCTCCCAACTTGTTTTAGGGGGGCAGAATTAACTCCTGGGCTATTGCACTTCGAAGCGCCCCTTGCATTCGGGCTGCGTGGGCGAAGGGGGGCGAAGAGCGCTTGTTCCACCCGAGCCCAGAGAGACGCGCGCGGATCCCCAGGGACGAGGAGGAGCCTCTTCGCACGCGCCTGCGCACAAGCGCCGCTCCGGGGAAGGGAGGGGGGGGGGGGGGGGGGAGAATGAGGCGCCGCCACGCATGCGCCCTGCTTGGCCCTTCCGCGCAGGCACCGCCGCGGCCACCCCTCCGCCGCCTCTCCGCGCGGGGGTCTCGCTGGACTCGAGGGTGGGGGGGAAGGGGCGACGACGGGACCCCCGAAGGAAGCGGCGACCCCCCCCTTCCTTTTTTTTCTCTCCTTTTTTTCTCCCCCCCCCCCTTGGCCCCGCCCCGCTTCCTTTCCCGCGAAGGACCCTCAGGCGCCGCGCGGGCAGCCCCGGCTGGGCCCGGCAGAGGCGGCGGCGCGGTGAGTGCGGCGGGGGCCGATGGGCTCTGGAGTCCTCCCGCAGGGGCGCAGAGGAGGGACGGGGCGTCTCCCCCCACCCCTCCTGGGAACCCGGGCGGCGGAGGCGCCTCCCTGCAAGTGGGTGGGTGGGGAGGTTCGTTTGGTAGGGGATGATGGGGGGGTGTAGTCCCGGGGCAGCTGGAGACCGTCCCCGCCTTTGCCCTTCTCCTCTCCGCCCCCCCAGGACCCCGCAAAGAGGGTGGGGGGCACCTGGAGCAGATACGCCCCCCAAGAGACCCCCCCTCTTTTGCAAAGCCCCCCCTTTGCCCCCCCAGGTCTCCCCCCTCCCCTCCCTTTGGGTGCCTCCCCCCCCCTCCTCCGGACACACACACACACACACACACAGAGGTTTGCAAGGGGGGGGGGCGTTGTTGCAAACGTCGCAGCTCCTGCGGGGGGGTCTCTTGCAAAATCGCTGCCGGCGGAAGAGGCGCCGCTTCCTCCCCTGGCAGCTGCCCTGCCCGGCCACCGGAGAGCCCGTCGGCCGCTTCCCCGGAGGGATGGGCAGGTGACCCATTGGAGGACCCTTCCCCGGACCCTCTGCAGCGGTCAGGAGGCCCTGGACTCCCACTCCCATCATCCCCCCCCACCAGCCAGCAAAGCCATGGGCTCTGGAGTCCCGCCCGCTGGGAAGCCTGGCCCTCCCGTTCTGGGGGTGGGGAGGGGGCTGGAGTCTCCCTCCCCACCATGGGGGGTGGGCTTGGAGGCAGAGCTCCGTCCCTGCAGGGTGGGGTGATTGGGGAGGGGGGGGGGGATGATGGGAATCAAAATTGAGCAATGCTGGGACTCCCACTGGGTCTTTGGGGTGGGGGTGGGGGGTGCTGGAGTCTCCCCCCCCCCTATGAGGGGTGGTCTTGGAGGCAGAGCTCCGTCCCTGCAGGGTGGGGGAGATCGGGGAGGGGGGGGATGATGGGAATCAAAGTTGAGCAACGCTGGGACTCTGGAGTCTTTGGATGCGAAAGCCCCCCCTTTGGAGGGTCTGCGCCAGAGACCCCACTGCGGCTGCTCTCCTTCCCACCGTCCTCCTCCTCCTCCTCTCTGCCAAGCTCCTCCATTAACGCCGGGACGTCCTGGGAGACACGTCTGGAGTTTTTTTGCCGCAAAGCAAGTTTGGGGAGTGTGTTTAACGCAGCCTTAATTACACTCCCCGCTTTTATAAAGATGCAAATTGGCTTCTCGGAGGGTGATGACAGCTGCCCAGCCAGACAGGTGTTTGTGTGTGTCTGTGTGTGTGCGGGGGTGCTTGGCCAGGTGAGCGAGCCGCTGGATCCCAAAGGTACCCCTGGCTTGCTACCTCCGCCCGCTGGGGACGTCCCCCCACCCACCCGGGTTCTTCCTCACCTGGAAGCCTGGAATCGGCTTGGATTTAGCTCTGGAAGCATCCCCTCCATCCTAGGGGGGAAAAACACGGGGAGGGGGGTCTCTTTGCAAGCTGCGTGCCGCCAAATGTCCTTCCAGGATTTCTGCTTTCCAGGAGGGATCTCCGGTTACAGGGCTCCTGCCAGAAGTCAGAGGGGAGGGAGGGGCTGAGGCTGACTTCCAAGCAGCTGAGCGACCCCCGAGACCCCCTCTTTTTTCCTCTCTCCTTTTTCTCTCCTCTCCCCAGCAGCTGTGAAGAGTCATCCTCCGGCCGAATCCCTTGGCGAGTGTCCCCCCACCCCTCCTCTGAAGATGGCCGACTCCACCGGTGCCGCGGAGGCGCGTCCGAACCGGGCCGAGGGGCCGAGAAGATAGAAATGAAACAGGCAAGTGGTGCGGCTTTAACATCTCTCTCTTGGATGAAGCCACTTCCTTAGCGCTTCTTTCTCTCTCCCCCCCCCCAGGTCCCTTCAGAAAAGCCCCCCCCCCTTAAAATCCTTAGTTGAGTTTAAAGTGGACAGCCTCCTCTTGGGCCTCCCCGAGTGGCAGCCAGCAGGGATTTCCACTTTGGCCCCGATCGGGCATCGTCCCCCTGTGTTTTCCAGCAAGCCAGTTTGTGGCTATGAATGGTGGCTTGTGAGCCGCAGAGGGTGAGTTCACACAAGAGCAGAGTGGTTGCCCTCCACCTGTGTGAGTCAGTGCTGCTGTTTCCGACAGGTGGGGGCCACAAGGGGAATGACCCCCTCCACCCACTCCACCAAGTGGTTTCCCCACACGCGTGTCTGTGGGTGACTCACGGGCTGGCAGGGGCCCCGGGAGAACCGTGTGACTCAGCCACACGGCTGCCTGGACTTGCCTTTCTTCCGCCTGGGAAAGAGGAGGCCGCTTCCCCCCCCCCTCTCCTTCCTGGAGCGGCTGAGGGTTCAAGTCCTGCTCCCAAGGTGAGGCGTGAACATCCGTGGCTCCTTCCTTCCATGGGTGCCAGGGTGCATCTCCTGTGCGGTGGACCCATATTGCCCAGCTGGGGTGGGGGATTATGGAAGGCGGCATTTGAAGCGGGGGCCCGGGCTGTTCCCCTGGAGGGGAGCACCGTCTTCTGCCCTGCGTGGTTGGCTGGGCGCGGGGCCTTCTTTGGGAGTGGCCCCCTTCTCTTTTGAGTGGCTAACTCGGGAGGAAAAGGCGGAGTAGGGAACCAGAAGAGAGAGGGCTAGAAACTTGAGATGGATGCACGGGGGAAGTCAGAGTGTGGAAGAAGAAGGATGCAGCTTGAGGAGGACGGTTGTAGGACTGAGCAACTTCCTAGTCCCTCTTGAGCACTGCGGAGTGAATGCGGAAAGACGCCTCTGGTTTCTTCTCCCAAAGAGAAAGAGTGTTGTGTTCATCTGGGCTGACAGCCCCGATCCCCTCTCGACCCTCCCACCCCCAATTCCCCAAACCGGCTCTTGAAATGGGGGTTCCACACGGAGCGAGGGACGCTTGGCGCACGGTGCGCGCGACTCTTGATGATGGCCGCACTTTCGGTCTTATTTTTTGGGGGGAGGCGAAGGGCGTTGGTGAAATCCGCCAAGCGCCGAGCAGGGGAGAAAGGCAGGCCCCGTAATGGGAAACAGATGCCTGCAGATGTCTGAGCGAGGGGGGTGGGTGGGGGGCTGCCTGCCTGCGTGGGCCGATGGCCGTCCCTGTGTGATGAACTTGGGGGGGGGAGAGGAGCTCCCGAAACACTCCCAGCAACCCTTGCGAGTTAAGAAAGGGGGGAAAAGACCGGAGGCGCATGGAATTTTAAACTTTGGCTGGAGGGGAGCCTCTCCGTTCGAGGGCACTCTACCTGTAAGCCAGGTGGAGAGGCGGAGAGCGTTTGCAGGTGGGCATCTGTGCGGGGCTGAGCTGGCCTCGACTCAGTCCATCAAGCCCCCCCCCCCTCCCAGATGCAGATTCCGGCAGCTGCCGAGCTCCGGTTTCTTGGTTTCTGTACTCCATTTGAGGGAGGGCACCTGGGTGGAGGGTGGGTGGGGGGCTGACTTGCACCTCGGCCCTAAGAGACACCCCCCCCCCTTTGGCAAAGAAGAGCCTGCGTTTTGGACCCAATGATGTTAGGAAGGGCTGCAATCGGTGGATCGGTCGTGGTGGGGGGCGGATGGCAGCTTTGGAAACTGGCAACAAAAATAAAATCCCCCAGTGGATTAAATAGATTTTCCTGTTGGTTAAAAAAATCCCACATCTCTCTCTCTCTCTCTCTCTCTATCTCTCTCTCTCTTCTTTCTTTCTTTCTTTCTTTCTTTCTTTCTTTCTTTCTTTCTTTCTTTCTTCTTTCTTCTTTCTCTTTCTTTCTTTCTTTCTTCCCTCCTTCCTTCCTTTTTCTTTCTTCCTTTCTTTCTTTCTTTCTTTCTCTTTCTCTTTCTTTCTTTCTCTCTCTCTTTCTTTCCTCCTTTCTTTCTTTCTTTCTTTCTTTGTCTCTTTCTTTTTCTTTCTTCCTTTCTTTCTTTCTCTTCCTTCCTTTCTTCCCTCCTTTCTTCCTTTTTCTTTCTTTCTTTCTTTCTTTCTTTTTCTTTCTTTCTTCCCTCCTTCCTCTCTTTCTTTCTCTCTCTTTCTTTCTTTCCTCCTCTTTCTTTC